TTGAAGTCTGCTGACCAGCTGCTACTGTGCACTCCCCGTATGTGTTAAAGGTCACAGGGTCAGTTGGCATTTGTGTGTGCTGCTCCCAGATTTTGGTAGCCTGGCAAGCCAGACTAAATAAATGTATTATTTAGTCTGGCCATGCTCCATTGACGGCTCTCAGTTGTGGGGCGGGTTCTACCGTTGTCTTTCAAATGATCTCCACATTCCACTGGACAATGAATGTGACACACTCTTGTTTCACTCTGTTGCATCATCCCATCCACCAGGCATGTAGAGTGCCCTGATTGGCCCACAAAGCGGATGAAGCTCTGTGATTTGTTCACTAAGCAGATAGAGCACTATGATTGGCCCACCATTATGGACCAATCACAGCTCTTTATGTGTTTGAAACCCCTCTAGAGAGCTGTGATTGGCCAGCCAGAGTCCTGGTAGGAGCTGCTGAGGTTCCAATGGAGCATGCCTAGACCAAACTTTGCAAAGCAAGAATTTGGTCTAGTTCACTAGGCTAAGACTTTGGAACTCACAGGGTGTTTCTCAATGCCAAGGAAACTTGCCTTGATGTCTTGGCCCCGCCCCGGTTGCCTTGGAGATACGTCATCCGGAGCCGCTAAGAAGCGTTCTAATGTTCATGTTCTACAGAGGCATGTGTTCTAGCCTTGGTCAAAAATTACCCAGAATACACCGCAGTATTTTCAAAAGGATAGCAGATCAGAAGTCAGCAGCTACTTCAGGGGCAAATTTCAAGTTTAAAAGTAAGTAATTTCAAAGTTTAAAAGTACATTGAGAAACACCCACTGCCTATTACAGTCAGGTATCCTCTCTCACTGTTTATAAATCTCATTTTAAAGACCAACTTTTATGGCTTGGCTTTCTAACAGTGACTATTTTACTTTGTAATGGTTTGATTTTTTTTATACTGATGGGTTTTTAATTGGATTGCATTTTTTTTTTTTTACCTGTTTTTTAATGACCGTGCCCTGAGCAGCACTTTGGTCAGCTCTCATACTGTGTTTAAATGTGCTATGTAAATAAAACAGTAACACAAATCCCAAGGTTTCTGATATTTCTTTATGCAATAAAAGGTGATATGTAATAAATTGTGACAGTGCATGAAAGTAAACAAAGGTAATATTGTTCCCTGGCAAAAAGAAAAACATTTTTAAAACATTTTTTAAAACTTATTTCTGATTATAACTGGTCGCTCTGAGTTCTCCTGCATTAGCTTCTGATAGAAAATACAGTGAAACTCTAGGATTTGAAAAGCCTGACAAATCTACGTCACACTGTCACTTAACATTCATGAACTCACCCATCTTTACTCACGACGGGGGAAAGCTGTGTTAACATCCAACAGCTGAAAATGTCTCGACTAGTAGAAGCTAACTGTTAGCAGTAGCAAATCCGCCACACAGCAGAGCTCTTCCAGACTTGTGTTATTTGTGAAGAAAAAACATCAACGTTGCAAACAGAATCAGTGGTAGAGTTGCGTTTCCGTAATCCAATCAGAGGTGAGATGTCCAAATATCAGGAAATAAGACTCCAAAACCTGCCGTCTGAAGCTCAGCTGTGATGTGGCTAGGGTTGTCACGGTATGAAAATTTAACCTCACGGTTATTGTGACCAAAATTATCACGGTTTTCGGTATTATCGCGGTATTTTTTAAACGGTGTTGCATATGTTCAGAAAGCATTGATAGTCCTGTTCTACACAAACTGAAATAGTTCTGAAAAGGTTTAACAGTGTTTATTAAACCTAAAATAACACAAAGCCTTAGCAAAAGTGCAACTTTTCACAAGGAACAAATAGCTTATTTTTCTGGAACATGTTACAGTAGTCAGTGCAGGTTTAAATTATACAAATCCAAACATTCAAAACATAAACAATATGTAAACAAATCAAAGAAACACCACTTGTTTTCTCATATACTTGTTTTCTTCATTATCAAAATGAAAATCTAAAACTCCAGTCCACACTTGACTTGAGCACTGTACAAGTCAACCTTAAAAAATATGTATTTAAAATAAATATCCACTTTAAACAAATTACTAAAATAACTACTACACTATGTAATCAAATCCAAATGTTCAAGTATAAATGGCATTGAATAAGTAAACAAATCCATGACAAGGAACTAATTGTATATTTCTCTTCATCATCAACAAATAAGATGCTTCATCCAGCAACAGGGTGTCCGTGACACGGTTTAAATGCTGGCAGAGGACGCTGCGGCTGCAGTATATAGTGACTCGTTGCATTCTCCCTCAACCAAAAGTCCTCACGTCATGCATTTCAGCTAAAATGCTAATGTTATCTTACCTTGCACTGGCTGTGGAGACGTGGGTGATCGTCACGCAGATGTGCCATGAGATTTGAAGTGTTGCTGCCTTCTGCAGACACTTGTTTCCTGCACGTTCTGCAAACGGGATAGCCGTCTTCTATTAACTGTCCCTCAGCATTTTTCAGAAATCCCAAATATGCCCATACTTCCGATTTAGTCTTCTTTGAGGGCTGATGGATGTCCTGGGCGCTGCCGTCGCCTCCTTCGGCCATTATTTCAGCTTCAAAGTTTTGGTGCCGTTGCAAATTAAAAAGTGCGTGTGCACGCAGCGGGAACTTCAGCTGAAGCGACGGTGGCTGGTAAGGGTCATTGCGCCGAAACCGCGGCCACGGTAAACCCACCGAGATAATATAGTTTTTTAAAAACTGGACGGTTATTTTTATTGTCAACTTTTTTACCGGGGTTTACCGCTATACCGGTTACCGTGACAACCCTAGATGTGGCTGATTTCTAGTTCCTGAAACTGGGGCACTAGTGTTTTCCCCCAGCATACAACTTACAAGGCTACTAAAGACCACTGCAAATGTATTGATTTAAGGAGTGTTCCACACCTTTAATATTTATGTAACAATGTAAGGGAGCAGTTTCAGTTTGAAAACACAGGCACGTCCAAAGATTATCCAGATTAGAAGGACCTTGTTAAAACTAAATTGGACCCCATTTTGCCTCCAGAACAGTCTTAATTCTTCATGCCATCAAGGTGTTGTGGACAGAACAGAATCCCAAAGAAACCACACACACGCACACACACACACACACACACACACACACACACACACACACACACACACACACACACACACACACACACACACACAAGTTCTGCAAAACTTGGTAGTAGCTAGCTATTTGAGCCTTTCTATCTAGAACCAGTCTGATATCCACAACTGCTGCTCACTGGATATTTTCTGTTTTTAGACCATTCTCTGAGAACCCTGTGGGCTGAAAATCCCAGTAGATCAGAAGATTCTAAAACACACAGACCACGTACTAACATGTGACTGGATGATCAGCTGTACATGGAGCAACTGAACCAGTGTACCTAATAAAGTGACCAGTAAGTCAACACATGGTTGAAAGCGGAAATGTATCTTCATACATCCATGCTTTCGTTCTTTTTTAAACACAGAAACAGTTTTGTTTACCTGTTTGTAGCTACGGTTTCGCCGACAGCTGCCGGCTTCTTCAGGCTGACGCTGAAGAAGATCAGTGTCAGCCTGAAGAAGCCGGCAGCTGTCGGCGAAACCGTAGCTACAAACAGGTAAACAAAACTGTTTCTGTGTTTAAAAAAGAACGAAAGCATGGATTTACAAAGACACAGCAAGAACACACCTAAGATGTATCTTCATACAATTTGCTGAAAGAAAATTGAACAAGTTGTTCTTTATGTTGAACGCATAGTTAAAAAAAATGATGCGTGTGAGTATCTAGTGTTGCACTGTTGTTAATTTATAGTGTGTTTGTTCTTTATTTGTTGCGTTTTCTTCTTTTTTCTAACTAAACTAATTAATCAATGACTGGATAGTTGAATATAGTGGATGGACTATAAATGTACACATGGCTAAATGTAATGTTAGACTTTGAATCATAAATGTGGAATATACTATTTTAAGAGTTCAAATCTACGAATGTATCTATTTAATTCGATGTCTCTTGATTTCATTCACATCAGCTCTTACATGCGACGGTCACCTCTGTTTGAGCATGCGCAATGGAAACTAACAGGTGCATGACGTCTCGGTCAACGAGGGAAGACGCGGAGGAGGAAAAAAAGACATTAATTTAGCGTAAACTTGTCTGCTGTGGTTACCTTACCAACATGGCGACGTGTGGTTTGGATGGAGGAAGAATAAACGCACGAGCCATTGATGAAGGGAATTGTCGCGTGCAGGATGAGCTCGAGATTAAGCAAAACACGTTATTTAAATAATTTAATGACGAATTAATAATAAGAGAGAGCGAGTAACAGGCGCCACATGGAGAGCAACAATTGTGGAATGAAACATTTTACGTAAAATAAATCGTTTAGCAGCTAAGAGAAGCGTGGTGCTCACCTGCCCGAACACCTCTATCCGGATGCCTCAGATGCAGCAAACACCGGGCTCCTTTACGCTGCTGAAGGACGGGAGGTCCTTCTTCTGTGCGGTCAGCCGCTGCAGCCCACTCACACTGCTATCTCCCTCTGCCTGATGCCTACTACGGCTCCCGTGATGTTACCATCAGCTCCATCCAGCTGAGCCCGTCAGTCTGTCTGCTAAAGGATGTCCAAAACGGCTTTGTGATGTCAAACGCGTATTTTGGTTCCCTGCACCTGCGTGGAGTTGATGTCAGCCTGCTGGCGTCAATGTGAACCCGGACTGGAGCCTCAAGAACTTGCAAATATTTGCAAATGTGCTTTAAATTGGCTTATACTGGCATCTGGTGGCCGTTTTAGTGAATTACAACATCTTCAGAAATCACTCCCAAGGTTTCTACAGAGACCTTTATTTTAACCCTCTCAGGCTCAAAATAAGTTTTGATAAAAGGACGAACAACTAAGTCCTTCAGGGTTACTTCTGAGTTAAAAAATGCTCAAGAAATACGTATGTGGAGTAACCAGGTAGGTAGGTTTTAACGTTGCAAATCTGCAACGCCTGCCTCCAGAGGATTAAAGACACTGTTTTGATACAAATTATGTACAATTTTATTGAAAGAACAAATACATGTAGTTACTGACAAAGACAAACAATTAAAGAGAAATTAGCATGCACAATAAATAATTAAATGTTTAGACAGTCCAGTGTTCCAGTGCAGGATGTCTCTTGAGAAGATTGGAGATTCAAGGTAGGATGAGGTGAGTTGGTTTAGTGTTGGGCTCATTTACCATGGATCTACATAATCAGAGCTGCAAGAATAAAAATGTTGATTTAGTCTTGCTAATATGAGAAGGATAAAAGCTTTAATGACAGATGATGAAATGGTATCAGGATTCTGTTGACATGAACTCAGATGTTGTGGGGGAAAATGCAGTTAGTTGTCAGTTTTGTTAAATTATCTTTAGATATCATGTGTTTGGGTTTTACTCACCGTGGCTCTGTGTCTTGGTTTGCATCTGCGCCGAACAGCAGCCAAGCCACTGCCTGCTCAGGGGACGATCTCTTGCCATACCTGCAGAGAAAAGATTAAGCACCTGTCCGTGATGACTGCAATTGAAGATAAGCCAGGAAAGTCTCCTTTGCTTTGCTTTTGCAAAGAGCTGTCTCTGCTCTGGTGTGACCCCCATCAACCCTGCTATCACTTTCAACCTTTGGGAAACAGTTTTTTTTCATCAAGCTGTGTTTAAAGGACGGCAAACTGCAAACACCCTGTTGAGTCTTTGTGCTTCAACTCGCAATCTCTGCAGGTCAATCACAATCAGATGTGCAGTTATTGGAGGTGTGCGTGTGTGTGTGAGTGTGTGTGGGTGGGGGGGTGGGGGGGTATGGGTGGCTGAACAGAAAATGGGTCAGTTCCCTTTAACTTTGTCTTGTCTCCATAATGATAACACGTGCCTTCATCTAAGGTCAAACGGTGGTTCACAGGAGTCAACCTAACACTACAAAAATATGCCAACATTTATTATTGGCCAATCATTTAGCATTTTAAAGTATTTTATTTATTTATTTATTCATTTATTTATTTATTGTAGAAGTGGAAGCTTTTGATGTCACAAACACTCTCTGCTTCACTTTTATTCCACCCCAAGAGCGTTTACTGATTAGCTGGAAAAGACTCTTAACTAAAGGAGAGAAGTCAGGATTTGTGAAATAAAACTACAACACGGAGTTTGTCCTTTCTGGCTGATAGCCTCACTGATAACATCACAGAGAACCTCTCCGCCCAAAACAGAGCAGAGAAATCTAGCAGATGTTTTTAATTTGTCAGACACCTTTTTTTTATTATCAAACTAAAATATTCCCGCTCCCCCTGTCTTGATATAATCCCAAATCCAAGCATTTTACAGCTCATCCTGGCTCACCTCTGCCGGGTGATGAGGTTGACATAGTGCCTGACAGCAGCGTGGTATTTGGCCCACTCCTCCGGTGAGGCGTTGCTCCCGGGGCTCTCCGGTTTGGGGGGGTAGGCGTCCGCGAATCCGCTCCAACACACCAGGAGGCAAAGGACGAGAGCTGCGAGCGTCACCCATGATCTCAGCATTCTGGCCATGTGAAGCTGAAACAGAGAAAGGAAACACCAGACTCATGCACCAGGTTAGTGGAGAGAAGTTTCACCTCTAAAGCACAACAAAAAAAACTTTCCAGAGACACCGGCGGAGTGAGGCAGGACTTACCGTTGGACTTGTGCTGTGAAGGTGCTGTCACCTCGGTGCTCCTATCCTGGTTCTCCCTCCACACCACAGGATTGTATTTATATGGTGAGGGACGGATACCTGATGCGCACTAACGCTTCTAACCACACCTCTCCTCCACGAGCGGCGCGTGAGCCTCATTATCCCCTCCAAAGTTACAAGGCAGGCTCCGACTTCCGCTCTACTTTTGAAATACATGTTTGTGACACAGAGGGAGCTGCTTTGGACACGCTCATCTGATTATAGACTCATGTATATTAAACTGCTGTTCACGTGGAACACTGCTTGATGAAAAAAATACTAAGAAGCACAAAAAAACAATGAAATTCTTGGTTCCCCATTTTTCGTCATTTCAGCACCACGGACAGCGCTCCACTGGTGCGTCGTGTCTGTCACCTGCTTTTTCACTCCAAAGTTTCATATTATACTATAATGTACCATACTGTATCACATTATACCATATTATACCATACTATAATGTATTACACTATACTGTACTATAATGTTCTATACTATCCTATATTATATTAAACTATATTAATAACTTCACATTTTGAGTAATGAACTTTTGCTCCATAACCTAATTTTCTGAGTTTCACCTGTGAAGATACGACAACATCAAATTATGGTTCAATAACTGTAAAACTGAGTGAGTTGTTGTGACTATTTTAGTGTTCGCCGATATACATTATCAGTCAATGCTATAATAAACATGATTTAGTCCAAAAGTTAACTGAATATAACCTAACTGGTTAGTTTTACTCAGACACAGAATGAAGAACTTTATCTGCCATATTTGACTCAATCAATGGCTGCTTTACTTTACATTTGAATGTTAACATTTATTTAATTACAGCCTCGTTTAACTGTAAGAAACTCCAGACAGATACATTAAGATCAGACAAAGTGAATCTCCCCAAAGGAATGATGTGTCCCACCTTCTCTGACGGTTTGCCGTAACATCTGTGTCAGTCCGTGCTCTCATCACTCCTGCATGCATTGTTCAATTGGTGATAAAGTTTTTAGCATGGGCTGCAGGAACAGGTCATAGGCTACACTCAGACCAATGCTTGACACACTCAGGTGCTTTAGGCAAAGTTATCTGTGACTGAATTAAATGAGTCATGGTCCTGATGGGTTCACTAATGATGAATTGTAATATGTTGGTGTTAATAATTCAGACACGAAACTTTCTGAGGGATCAGTGTTTCCTATTTGACACACACGCTCTCACAGAGGCAGTTGGTGTACGATCTTCTATCAGATCTAGTCCACCTGAGCAGGTTATTTACTGACCGACTGATGCGGTAGCTCCTGTTTATCTAGGCTCTTCACGGTCTGCTGTTTCAGTCCATGACGCCTGAATGCAGCTCTTATCCAGCGAGGACAATCTCCTACAGTGTGTGTGTGTGTGTGTGTGTGTGTGTGTGTGTGTGTGTGTGTGTGTGTGTGTGTGTGTGTGTGTGTGTGTGTGTGTGTGTGTGTGTGTGTGTGTGTGTGTGTGTGTGTGTGTGTGTGTGTGTGTGTGTGTGTGTGTGTGTGAGCGAGCACTTGGAACTGATTTTAAGCTATATAATAAAGGTCTTTGTATTTCTGAGCTCTAGGACCAGCGTTATGGGTCACTCTGCTACTAAGATCTGTCTGTGGGTTCTGTCATTATTGAATTCACATCAGTGGTTCTCAGGGTTCTTTAGACAGACTGATTCCATTCTGTCAGATGAATAAAAGATAAAAGCACTTCTCAAGTCCAGATGTGTTTGAACTCTAGTCAACTTCCTGTTCTCTGTTTCTTCTTCTCACTTGATCTATAACTCCCAAAACTTTAAACTCCTTAAATTAACTCAACTGTTTCATTAAACTATCATTTCTGTTACTGCTTAGCACATTTCATATAAGCTGCTGTGACGTTTCTTGTATTTTACTTATCATTCGCATGAGTTTATAACACTAAACACTCGTGTTTATACAATCCACCTCAGGCTTCTTTTAATAAAATGTTAGTCTAAGCTGTGAAATTTAGCTCTTCTCAGGTGTGTAACTGCATTATATGCTGGCTTTGATCATTTTTGTAACCTGATCATCAGATGACTGAAAAGCCTCCATCTGACCTGAGATCTGTTACAACTACGTTTTCATTTGAAACCAAAATCAAAACCTTCAAATTCTCAGGACGGTTCCGTGTGTGTGTGTGTGTGTGTGTGTGTGTGTGTGTGTGTGTGTGTGTGTGTGTGTGTGTGTGTGCGCGCGTGCGTGTGTGTGCGCGTGTGTGTGTGTGTTTTAGCTTTAATGAGGTTTTAATGAGCTCCACTCTGAGCGTGATTCTCAGTTGCACTGATGCTGTTGTTCGTTGCTGTCAGGTATTTTCATGCTGCTCGTTACTTATAATTCTGTTAATAGTTCTCACACTCGTCTCATCAGGAAACTTTATACGTGTAATATTCCCATCCTCTTGGTATGACGCTTGACATACGGTGCAGTTCTCTGTTCTTTTGCATTTGTTTTTATTAAATCGTTTTTAGAGTTTCTATATAGAATTCAACATTTAAACCAGCAGCTCATTAATAAGTATTTAAAATGTTATTTAAGTAAATTATGGTGATGAGAAAAGAGTAAGCATGTTTTGGGTGTTAAGTCTGCAGCAAGGATGAATTTGAAGATTTGTTTCAAAAATATTCTTGAAAATCAGTTTGGAAACATTTAATTTTACACTCAATGTGTTGGCATAAATTCATCATGAAGCTTTATTCTCACCAGCCACTTTATTACAAACACAAACATCTGAAGAGGATTTGTTGAAGTCCAGACTGACCATCAGAAAGATGACACGATTGTTGCTACCAGACAGGCTGGTCTGGGTATTTCAGAACCTGCTGATCTACTGAGATTTTCACCTACAAACGTCTCCAGACTTTACAGAAATCAGTTTGAAAAGTTGTGTGGATGTAAATGTTTTATTTTGTTCAGACTGGTTCTGAACGATAGAAAGACAACAGCAGCTCAAATCTCCACCAACGTCTACAGAACAGCATCTCTGAACCACGACATGTTGAACCGTGGAGCTTGGAACTCCAGCAGCAGGAGACCCCATCAGGTCTCTCCTGTCAGGTAAGAAAAGGAGACTTGGTCTACAACTCACAAAGAATCACCAGAACTGGACCAGAAGAGACTGGAAGACCCCTTTTCTAGAGTGATGAGTATAGATTTCAGATGGTTCAGTCAGAATTTGGTGTCACCATTGTGAAAACATGGATCCCTCCATAGGAGAGATGTTCCTGGTCCTCGTTGGCCCCCTTAGCACCACCTGAGCCTGGTTTAACCCCCACAGCCTGCCTGAGTATTAGCTGACCACATCCATCCCTTTATGACCACATGGACCCATCTTCTGAAGGCTTCTTCCAGCAGGATGATGCACCACGTCACAAAGCTCAGATCATCTCTTACTGGAACATGACCATGAGTTCACTGGACTCCAATGACCTCCACAGTCACCAGATCTCTGTGGGATCTTATCATGGATGTGACTGTGAGATTCTGTCTTGTCAGTGTGGACCAGAACCTCTGAGGAAGGTTTCAAACACCTTGTTGGATCTGTGACATGAAGAACTTAGGCAGTTCTGGGAGAAAAAAGTGGTTCAACCTGGAATCAGCCAGGCGCATCTAAAAACATGTATTTTTTATTCTGTTGTCTGGTTTATAAAAACACAGAATAATGATGCCACCTAAATCTAAAACAGCTCGGAGGTTAATGTGTTCTTCAGAGACCACTTTCCTATAGAAAACATAAAAAAGAGGCCAAATACTGCACAGCTTGAAAATGAAGGCTTTGTGTGGATTTTTGAGTTTTACTGCATGAACACAGAAAAAGAAAACCTTTTTGGGGCCGTGAGGAACATTAGAGCACACAATGTGTTCTCCTCCCGAGGGAAGTCACGACAACTCCTTTCACATGCTGTTTATTGAGTCGTAAACAACAATGGTTTTGTCTTTGTCCGTCCCTAAACCCTTGTCAAAAACACACCTTGATTCAGACATCAGTCACAGCTGACAGTCTCTGTGGAGTCTGGGACAAAAACACCTCACGGTTAAAGCGAGCAGGGTGGTGTCATAAAGGCCGTGAGTGGATCGTAGCGTCACGCATCGATTAAACCAGCCGTCGCTTGCATTAGAGATGAAGCAAAAACAACAGTTGTTTGGTGAAACCCGGTTCCGTTCTCAGCCATTCGTGCTCATCCTGGTAATCACCTGCTGCTAACAGTGCTTATCCTGAACATTTTGGTAATTCTGCCACAGTATCTGCATTCCATCTACTGCCCATAAAAGTCAATGGCAAGGAGCGAGGATATGCGCTGTACAAACTCATTAGCTCGCCCCAGCGTTTATGGGTAAACAGTGGAAAGCTAACCGTTCCCAGATAAAGGGAAGGCCAGACAGGTGAAGTCCTGTACAATAAAGCCCAGCTAATGCACTACCAAAGAGCCGTTTGGGCTCCTGGGCAGGGGTCGGAGTCTGAGCTGCAATCAGAGGTTAGATAACAAGACCAGTGGGAAGTCAGTCCAACTTTTTACTCTTGTTCAGTTTTACCAACTTTTCTCTTGCAGCATCAGTGCAGCCGATGATGGGGCTGCGTTACGCAAGACGTAGGCAATTTATCATCTCAGCAGAAGGTGATGACTTAAGTAAATGTTGCAAATCCACTTACTGCAGATGTGTACTTGCAGCTAAAAAGCTTTTCTTCTAAAACCACCTTTTCATTTTCATCACACATCCAAATACCCAAATATCACACACACACACACACACACACACACACACACACACACACACTGTCCATTCAAGTGTAGGAACCATTTCCCAGGAGAATGTCAGACTCCTTCCTGCCATCACAGACAGAAAGTGTGTGTGTGTGTGTGAGTGTGTGTGTGTGTGTGTGTGTGTGTGTGTGTGTGTGTGTGTGTGTGTGTGTGTGTGTGTGTGTGTGTGTGTGTGTGTGTGTGTGTGTGTGTGTGTGTGAGAGAGAGAGAGAGGGGGGGGGGGGGTGGGGGGTGATTATGCTCTTTCAGTCCTCCTTATCTTTAGAGTGTGGGAGCCACTAATATGAACATAGTGCTTTTTATGCAGCCGTGTGTGTTTGCACAAAATGGGGGGTTGATTGTGGTCGGCTACTTTAGTGTCATAATTCAGGAGCTTCGGATGTGGCCATCAAGCCTCCGGACAAAATGACTGTAAATGATGGCAGATGAAATTTAAGCTCTCAACACATTTTCCTTTCATCTCACATTGTGGCTTTAACACACACACACACACACACACACACACACACACACACACACACACACATTTGCTCTTGTATATGAGGCGCCGATTGTAAAATTCATTTTAAAAATCATCAGCAATAACATTTGGATTCAAATAACTAGATGTTTGGGATAAAATTGAAACACAGGGCGTCAAACCTAAATGTTCTATCCCGAATCAAAAGAGTTAGTTAGGCCTCAATATTTAAAACAAAATCTAAAAGTTTTAAATTAAACTGCGATATTTGAAAATTTAAACATATCAAACCTAAATATTTAAAAACAGACCTATTTTTTTAATCTAAATAAATACACGGCCATTTTAAACCAAATATTAGCTATAATGCGACTTCAAACCATTACAAAGCAGAGGCATCCTACCAAAATAAAAGCGGAGTGAGGTCTCCCGTTATGAACCCAGTTTTCCACATGGACAGTTGCAGCGCTGCCATCAAAGGGACCTCAGGAGATCTCTTTGCCTCACATTTATTCTGATAGACCATTTAGATTTTACAGCAGTCTGAATTAGCCTGTTAGCTAATATTTAGCTTTATATTTAGATTTCAACATTTACCTTTATCCAGGCTATTTGGACTTGATCCTAATTTTTTTAACTGACTTTTATGTTTACATTTGATTCTAAATATTTGTATTTATTATTTGTTCTTAAACATGTGGACTTTGTAACTTCTTCTATAGATGTGGAAAAGTGACATATTTTTACACCTTTGATTCATTCAAAGCTATTTGATTAAATGTTTATGTTAATTCAACAGTTAATTTCTTAAATCCTTTACTCCCATACTGGTTTCATTTGGGAGCATGGCAGCCTCATCTAAGTCCAGACAGCCGGAATTATTCTTTATTCTAATTTTCTTTTAATTTTTTTTTAATGAAAAGCTGAGCAAAACAATTACAGAAACATCTCAGCAGTGAGCTGGCAGTGATCGCCTTGATGACGATGCCAGCATCAAACCGCTCAGGGTGCTATTTAGGTTGCTACATGATCCCCTTAAATGCTTTTTACGAGAGAGCAGTTTAGTCTAGAGGGAAGATGATGCAGAGATGACTGGGTAAGTCAGAGCAAAGTGACTTCATACCAGATGTGACTCACGGCTGGTAGGATGCCTCACGGCAGAGTAAAACTGATACTTCCCAAAAGCTGCACAGGTTTCATATCTCAGAGAGCTGAGTGTGTCTCTGGCCAGTGGGCATGAAGTGAACTCAAACATGAAGGACGTCTAATGAAAAAGGACCAGCATGGTCTTAACAGAAAACATAAAAACACCCAGCAGTCAAATCTGGCCGTAATTACTGCAACACACGGGCAATCAGCTGTAAATACGCCCTGATCAAACATTTTATTGTTATTCATGACCGCACGTGTAACTACCCCTTTAACTACAGATTGCTTTTCTCAGTAGCAGCCACCTTGAGAATGATGGCTGGAATGAGCACCTGGAAAAAGGGTTTGTTTTCTTGTGAACAGCGACCACAGCTCCTGATCTGAACCAATCACTGTGAATCTGTGGCTTAGAGCTGTGTGTGTGTGTGTGTGTGTGTGTGTGTGTGTGTGTGTGTGTGCGTGCGTGCGTGCGTGTGTGTGTGTGTGTCTGTGTGTGTGTGTGTGTGTGTGTCTGTGTGTGTGTGGTCGTATATCAGACACACTTAAAACCTGAAGAGATGCTGATGGTGGAGTAGTGCTGGAGGAAGATGAAGGCTGCTGCTCATGAGATGCCCGTTCAAAAGCAATCCTGGTACAAAAAGCAACTAAACTATAGCGCTAAAACAAAGCATCGCTTATAAAACAATTTCATTCTGTTGTTAAAACAGTTGTTAAAACTGCAGAATATTTGACTCAAGTACTTAAAATGACAAAATGACTCATTTTTGCTGTAGTTTATAGAAAATTGTTCCTGAAAATTATCTTTTCTTTCTGATTCTATAAAAAAAATACAAAAACACAATGAAATATTGCACGTGTTGGACTGATTAACTGTATTAGTAACTAGAAAATTGGACCTGCGCGCGCTGGCAAAAGATAGTGGCCATGTTTGTGTGACGTTGGGCGAACAACCCAAAATCATGACTCTGTTTTCATTTCTTTGAAAGCAAAACTGAAACATGGACCACATGTGTTATTAACAAGGTCCTTCCCTGTGAAACCATTTTTGAAAATGACCGGCCACTTGGAGTTATTCATGCAGACTGAACATGAAAACAGTCTCCTACACCTATCTGCTGCATTAGCTTCTGATAGAAAATAGACCGTGAAACTCTAGGATTAGAAAATCCTGACAGATCGCCGTTGTCACGCTGCGAGCGCAGGAGGATTGGACCCAAGACGCAGAACACCACAATACTCAAGACTGGAGAGGTTGTTTAAATAAAAAATCCTTTTATTAGGATGAGAACTCAAAAACAAAGACGGAGGGACTCGAGGTCAAAAAATCTAAAGTTCCAAAGTCAAAGACAAAAGCTCATTCATGAGCCAGATCCTATAGTTTGCTAGAGAGGGGAAGAAGCAACGCTGACTAAGACAATGAACCGACAAACACTGGAGACACAGACAGGGTTATATACACAGGGCTGGGGCGATAGGAGGCGAGGAGCAGGTGCGTAGGGAACTGGGTACAGGTGAAACTAATAACAGAGAGGAGGAGCAGAACGGAGCAGGGGAGGAAACCAGACCTAACTGGAGAAGGGAACACACACACACACACACACACACACACAAAGGAGACTAAGGAACTGAAATAATAAACCTATAGAAACTACAGTGGGGAGACATATGGGCCATTCCCATCTGTACCGGGTCGGGTAGCCCCAGCCTGGCCCGCTTAATTCCACACATCCTTGCCTTAAGCCCATGTGGGCTGATTCTACCCACCAATCAGAGGCTTGCTCTAATGGAAGGTGTGAATTTGCTGTCAGCAGTGGATGTGTTGGCCCTGGTCGGCCTGAAGCAGACCTCCTCGAGAAGAGGGCTGAGAATGAGCCTTGGTTGGCCCGGAAAAATACCAGGCCACCCAGATATGTAAACAACCTATGCTACCCGGCCCGGGCCGACCCGGTACAGATGGGAATGACCCATAAGAGAACCTGAGGAACACCTGGAGGGGGCTGGGGACCAAAGGGACACAGAACACAGTCGTCACACTCTCACTTAACATTCATGGACTCGCCCATCTTGCCTCACGACGAGGAAGGATGTTGTTGGTTTAGCAGACAGCAGAGAAAATCTCTGCTAGTAGAAGCTAACTGTTAGCATTAGCGACTCCACCACACAGCAGAACTCCTCTGGGATTGTGTTATTTATGGAGACAAACCATCACCGTTGCAGAGCAAACAGTTAGTGGTAGAGTCACATTGCTGTTAGCCAATCAGAGGCGAGATGTCCAAATATCAGGACATAAGACTCTAAATCCTGCTGTCTGAAGCTACTTTCTACTCTGGCTGAATTCTCCGTGCTAAAACAAGCACACCGGCATCCTTTTTCCCCAGAGTACAACTCACAAGGCATTAGAGACCACTGCCGATCTTTTAAAAATATGAGTGTAGGACCTCGTTAAATGCTCTGAAAACTAGAGTGGATAAATGGGCTCCTCCTTGCATCTTAGTGTCTACAGATGTAGATTAACTTTACGTTAACGTCATTGTTTTTCTGACTGATAGATATCTGGTAGATTTTGTCTAGTCCAACTCTTTGACACCCAAAGGAATTGTTTCACCGTGCTCTAGAGAAACATGACCTAGTCTGACTCAGAGGTGCAGACTCTGGTTCGCTGAACACGAACGCCAACAGAATCACATCATTTGCATAAAAGCAGAGAAAATCCGAGTTCCCAAAGCGGACACCCTCCTACCCAGAACTACAGCTTCATATCCTGTCCTTGGGTACCACGAACAGGGCTCACACAAAAGAAAAAGGGTTTCAAGTATCTAAAACATCATCTCAGTGTTAAATTTGGCAAAAGTAAATTTTTACATTTTTTTCAATAATTCCCAGAACATGTTTTTGCATTAAGTTCTTGGATCTTACACTGATTTTCTATGTAATTACACAACAAACGCCAGATTAATAAAGTGAGTCAGTGTCAGATCTGCACGCGGGACGCCTCATAGATGGCTCCATCATCCGTCTTCTCCGTACCTGCTGGCCGCTTCCCTTTAAGGAGTGAGATGAATGGTGTTAATCAGCAGACGGGAGCTCTTTGCATCACTCAGCTCCAGCTTGTCCTGCTGTAATAAAGCAGCCTGCCCAGCTGAGTAATTACGCTCATCAGTCTTAGCTGCAGCCGCTAACATCTGACTGAATTAAAGCTTTCAGGCGCGCCCAGAAGCATGCCACATTAAACTGACAACCTAATGTTTTGCTTAGTTGTTGGACTTAAATGATGTGATTTAAGTTATTGGTTGAGAGTAAAATGTGGGTGTGGTCCTGACTCAGCAGAACAGAAAAAGGACGCTTTTATCAATTTCAAGCATAAAAGTTGGATTTTATTTATTTTTTAATAAAGAAACTAAAACAGACGCTAAATCTGGAGCCTTATTCAGGCATGAAACTAATCACTACTGAACAAGTACAAAAAATATGTGAAAACAGAAGTAAATCTCTTCTCCCTCCTCTGTCAGGGATTCATGTTTTCCAACATTCATCAGGTCCTTTAGGACCCGCCTCCTCCTTTCTCCAACACTGTCTCCACCATCTTTGGTAGGAAAACTTCCAGGAAATGAAAGAAGTCCTGGAAAACTCCCGCCCCGTCGCTGCTTGGCTCCATCTTGAGCAGTGCCTTTGTGTTCTCGGTTCCACCAACCATCTGGGGCTGAACTTTGAACTCCAGGGGCTGCTTGAGCCCCGGCTCTTTTTCCACGATGTAAGCTGAGACCTGGGACTCCAGGTCCACGCAGCTCCCCTCTGGTTTACACTCTGCGTCCTTCATGAGCTCTCGTCTCACTCTCCTCCTGCCAGCCCACACCATATGCTTCTGCGCGCACGTCCATGGAGGGACTTCGTGATGCCCCCTTTTGGCCAGTCTTGGCTTTTTGCCCTGAGGTGACACTGAGCAATCGCTGCCAGAGGACAAAGGCCTCTTTGCACCAACGGTCACCTCGCCCTGAGAATCAGCACTCTCTGTGCTGTCGTTTAACGAGTTAAAGGAAGCCGACGCGGTTTCTGTTCCTTCAGCCGCAGCTGGATCTTCTCTAAACACAGCATCTGCAGGAGCATGGAGGAGGCACTTGAGGACAGTTTTTAGTACGACCTCCACAGCACAACAAACCTTCTGGAACCACAGCAGCCTGAAACCATCTCCTGCCACCTGCAGCTCATCCTGAAGCTTCTCAGGCAGCGAAGTGGCCTTGAAGGGGATGCTGATGGCCAGCTGCTCTGGTTTTGTCTGCTGCACCTCCATGTGTGGGGTCAACAAGCGCACAAGTCCCCAGGACTTCCCTTTAGTGGACTTGTGCTGGTACTGTAGGCTGCGGCAGTACTTGTCAGCCTCCTGGCACTCCTTCAGGAAGCTGCGGTGAGAGCGTTCGTTCAGGTTTCCCGCCACGTTGTGGGAAAGCTCGAAGGGATCCAGGAGATTCAGGGGGCCCAGTTTGGGACCAGGCAGATGGGACTTGGTGGGTTGTTCTTCTTGCATCGTCTCATCCTGTTTATTCTGGCTGAGGAATTTTGTGATCGGAAGAGCACGTCCCTCCCTCAAAGAGATGACGCTACCGGCAAAATCAAACTGGGCGTAGAAGGAGAAGAAGCCAGCGAGCAGCGAACCTGAAGAGAGAAAACATGGAGGTTTAGTGATGCTTGGAAATGTCAGCAGGAAGCATGTTTCTGTTTTTAAATGACTTACAGAGGTCTTGTGTGTTTTTACAGGGCGGCACAGCGATCGGCTGACTTGGGAAGGTGCAGTTCCAGCCTTCAATCACACACTCCTCCTCCTCACCTGCAGAGGATCATAAAAAAACACACAGTTAAAGTTACTTTCCCGGCTCTAAGGACAACAGAAAGCCATTGAAGAGAAACTGGTTTGTTAAAACATGAAAACTAAGCAGTAAAACCTCTAAATCAGTCCTAAACTGACAGAAGGCCAGTGGAGAGAAGCTACGGCTGGTGGCATGTGCTCCTGTCGTTGACCGACGGGTAAAGGATGAGCTGCAGCATCCTGGATCGTGTGTGAACGATGTAGACATACAGAGCATCATAAAAACATCAAGAGATATGGCCTCGCCCCAGTGATAACTCTCATCACACTCATCACTAGCACAGATTAGAGACTGGGCATGCCAAAGAACACAGAATAAACAAGAATAATCCAGTTTTTAACAAACAAGTCCAGATAGTTACCTGTGCTGCTGTGTTTAACTCGGGTTAAACCGTCTGGGTGTCGAGACAAAATTCAGTCTAAAATCTATTCAGGACATAAATGTATGATTACTACTCCATCGCTACATAGGGAGAATAAAACAGCTGGAGGCGAACGGTAGCTGCAGGTGGTCACATCGACCTGATTAATCACGTCACAGAAGAGAAAACTCCATGTGGAAAATTAAACAGACATAACCAAAATAAATTATACAACATTTTAGTTTTCTGTACATTTTTTCATCTTAATCTGAGGAAAAATCTTAGTTCTAAAGATGATTTAGTCGCGCGCCCCCCCCCCCCCCCCCCCCAAATAAAAACATTTTTTTTCCCTTGATAGCTCAAATAAGACTAACTCAAACCCTAAAGTATAATTTCAGCATGAATAATTTTAAACACACCCGTGCAGTTTCCACCTCACGTGTCTGCACGTGCAAACAACACCTGCTGATGTAGGAGCGGACAGGTGGGACTTACAGGACATATCTCTGAGCTGGTCCACGGTGGGGAGGACAGGAGGATCACAGTTCTGCAGGTAGAAAAAGACCAGCAGTGTCAGGGCGTAGTTGTTGAGGAGAGGACCCGAGCCACTGGGATTACCTGCAGGATGATAAACCAGGAAATGTCTGTGCTATGTCATGTTATAATGAGGCTGCTGTGTGTGACCGGACAGAGAGCCAGTCCATCGCAGGGCAACACAGACACACAGGACAAACAATCATGCACACACACACACTCACACCTAAGGACAATTTAGACAGACCAATTAACCTAACAGTCATGTTTTTGGACTGTGGGAGGAAGCCGGAGTACCCAGAGAGAACCCACGCATGCACAGGGAGAACCTGCAAACTCCATGCAGAAAGATCCCAGGCTGGGAAGTGAACCCAGGACCTTCTCGCTGCAAGGCAACAGCTCTAACCACTGCGCCACTGCGCAGCCTCAAAATACTAACGTTCAGTACTAAATTAGTTCACGAAGAAACCAGGTGGCACTGTCATTAAAGCAGGAGAGCTGCTACAGAAGCCTGGAGGTCCAAAAACACACAAGAATGTGTTTTTTCTCAGGAACGGCGATGCTTGCACACAGACCCGTATGGAAGCATATCGCTGGGCAATGCACAACAGAGGGAATGCGTTTTCATCCTGGCTGCAGCTGGATGATGGACAGATGCTGGTGCTCTGGTGTGTGTGTGTGGGGGGGTGGGGGGGTGGGAGGGGATGTGTGAACCTGGTGTGAACGAGTCACAAGAAAGATTGAATAATTTGCAAAATAAAACAACAAAGTCACTAGGTTGGCAACACGAAGGAGTCATAATTAAAAATATATCAATGCCAGTTGTGTTTCCTCGTGCTGACTGTTAAAGCTCCACCCCAGCAGGGGTCTAGCTGTCAGACGGGGTGGAGGTGTGTCCTTCACAAGCATGAAGCCAAAGCCAAATATGAGATCCAAATCAGATTATAATAAAACTTAGCTGAAAGTTTTTTTTGTGATTGTCTGGAGCTGAAATCGAAATAGCAAAAACATTTTGATTAACCCAGAGCTCTCATTTAAAATGTGTAACTTTATGAGGAGATTCTGTAAAAGGTGCTGCTGTGTTATACCGATGGAGACTGGCTTTACCTTCTACATAACCAACCGTGATTCCTGAGTTCAACTAGTCTCCCAGAAACTCAAATTCTTTCATATATTGTGTTAAATGTGTTTTGAAGTTAAAAAGTTTGTTTCTAAGACGCAATAATTTGCTTTGATTATTTGTATTTGTGGAAATTGGCCTCAATGATCAAAGCAATCGCTCCAAGTCCACAATTTCATCTTAAAATGACACTTTGAGATGTCATCACACACTCTTTAATGAAAGGTGTGTTTGCAGCACCGAGGGGGGAGTTCAAAGGAAGACACGGACCTGGAATAAAAGGTAATTGCTTTTCACAGCAGAATCCCTTTAATAAGATTTCATTTAATATCAATGCCTGCACACAAAAGGATTCAACAACAACGATCAAATGAGGATCAGACTCAGTGTAGCTCTGCTGACATCTGCTGGTGAAAGCATGAACAGGACTGCATCCTACCAGCTAACTGCTTCTGCTTGGCCCAGTAGCGGATGGTGTAGACCAGGGGCCTCAGCCTCTCCTCCACCCCTGAACACAGCTGGAGGAAACGCGTGTTCCTCACGCCAAGTCTAACAAACAAAACAGGAAAACAATAACTCCTGCATGTTTTCATTTAATTCACATCTCAGAGATGTAAAACCGTCCTCAGAGACCTGTTGTTGAGCGTGATGTCTCCCTGCAGGTTGAGCTCATGGTGATGGAACTTGACCACAGGGAGGCGAGCGGTGCTGACTACGTGGACCTTGTGCACGCTGGGGACGCAGCGCTTGAGGATGGTGGCAACCAAGTCTAAAACTTCAGCTGGAGAGGCTGTGGACAGATCGATGTCAGACAGGATGGAGTCCTCAGAGTGGGCATCGTCTGACACTCCTTCACCCGCCTGACGACCGGGCGCAGGGAGGGAATTTGTTAGAAAAATGTGACGTTTTAGCTCCGAATGTGTGAACTACAAAGATTTGCACCTAGATAAACAGTCAGACCTGCTCTGTGCTGGACTTGGCCCGAGCTTGGAACACCTTCGTGTTTTCTAGGTCCAGGAACAGGTCCAAGTCACACGAGTGGACGCCAAAAGTGTTCACAGATGAACCAAAGGGCAGAATCTGGCTGTCTGTGACCCACGTAATGTTAAAAACAGAAAAACGCTGATTTTTTTTATCATTAAGCCACAGAATCTGAATGTTTACAAGTTTTAAAGCCCTCACCTGGAAAGAATTCAACAAAAACCTCTTGAAGGAGCTGAACCAGCAAGTCTCGAGTCTTCTTTTCATTTTCTCCCAGCTGAAATCGCTCAACTATGAACTTCATCTGGGCATCCACCTGAAGGAGCGAGAAAAACTGTTTTAGTTCAATCATCTCAAAAAGAAAAATAGAAACACTTGATTTACTGAGCTGTACGACACATGAACCATGAGGATTATCATGCTGTATTTTCTTTAAATAATCTGTAATAAATATGTTGCCCAGCTGCACGGTTCATTTCTGATTATGTCAAATCAGTTCTAGTACGGATGCTCACAGATCCCAGCTGACACAAGTCGGGTCTGAGACGATCTAGGACCTGCTGGAGGTTCTGGGGGTTGTTCTTCTTCTTGGGAATTAACTTAAATTCCTTCTTTTCTCGAGGCTTGACCCGCAGCTTCAGCCCCTTCATGCGGTGCTCTACACAGGACAAAGCTGCCTGGATGCTCTCCGTTTCACTGAACTGCACGATGGCAAAAACACCCTGTGAGCACAAACACACACACCATCAGTCACTCTGCCCATGATTATAACACCCGGCCTCTTTCATGAGAAGGCTTCATCTAATAGGAAGTCCGTCCCACCTTGCCTTTGTCCATGATAACATCTGTGACGGCCCCAAACTGCTGGAAGTATTCGGAGATGTCCGTCTGAGAGATTTCAGGCTTGATGCCACTGACAAACACACTGTGCTCCTCCTGGTTCTTCCTGGTGTCTCGTACAGTCGTCAGGGTCTGATGCTTTCGCCCCTTCACATGCTGATCGACACTCGGCACTGGTCGGCAACAACATCAAAGTATTTAGTAAATCAGAGGGATTTCTACCACTTTACATCCTGATTCACTGTGTTTAATCAAGTTTTTGTTTATTCTAAAGAACTATTTCTTGCAGATTAAATTTTAAACACACAAGTTGAGATCTCCGTAAGTAAAAATGTAAAGAACAGTCTGAACGTTTTACCAGCCACCGTTACAGATGTTCAGATTTATCTTACACTAAACAAATGGATCTGTTTCTGGATTTAAAGAGCAAGTCACCCAAAAATAAACCTTTTTTAAATGAGAAACTAAATAAATGTGTGTCTAATCGTGCTGCAGACACATGTAGTCAATAGTTTTGCACTTGTTAAATTTTTAATTTTCTGCCTTAAATTGTCAGTGTTGTGCCGTTGTCAGGTAAAAACTCTGCTCTACACTTGAATTTAAATCTGCCATCGCTCTTGGCTAAGAGGTTTCCTAGAATGTTAGCTGGTACCATATGATGTCACAATGTTGTTGTGAGCCTATGTGTGTGTGTATTTGTTAGCGGCTGCACCCTCTCGGTCTGCTAGGCAACAGCATTTGTTGCATTTTTCAAACAGGAAGTGGGAGTGGAGTAATACTCTGGTAGGGGGTGACTTGATCTTTAAATGGATTTTTCTGGAGACTGATGCCATTCTGTCATCCTTCAGAAATGTTAAGTTCGTAGTTTCTTTAGTCGTGTACTGCTGGGACTTAACAAACCACGAGACCAATCCCTAACCAATTCAGCAGGCCTTAGCAGTGTCTCATTTTACAGCTCAAGATGGTGACATTTAGAAAATGAATAAGAAGAAGCCTCACTTAGTTTTTGTTCAGCTCCGCAGATTTGTTTTCAATATTTGGGTCTATTTTCTCTTTTGGAACATAATGAGCATCATTCTCTTGTCCTTTTCATACCAAGGAAAGATGCCACTTTTAGCACAAGTGTTGCAGATTTGTGTCGTTTACTTCACTTTACAAACTGTGTATGGTTTTCTTAAAGACTAAGGCTAAAGCTATCTTAAAGTTATGTTTCATACTATTTAGAACTGAATCTCAGTCCACACCAAGGAAAAGGGAAAATAAAGAAACTTTTATTGATGTCTCAACATCCAGAGCCTATGGTGTGAATGTGAATGCATTTGACAGATGCTTTTGTCCATAGAGACTTCTAAGTGGAGATGCAATGTTCAATGTAAAATACTGAAGTCTGACAACTTTTTTTATGCTTGTTTTTACTGTCTTGACCTGTTTGATTGCTGGTATGCCTTGTTGTTTCTGCTTGATTTTATTGAACGTTTTTATTCAGTCTTTTGTGACATTTCAGTAAGGCACTTTGGTCCTCTCATGCTGTGCTGAATACAGTTACAAAATAACTGGTATGGTACTATCTGGTCTAATATAATTACTTGCATTTGACGGTATAGTACAGATTCACTTGGATTTAAAGGTATCGATTGAATTAGAATCGACTCTTTTTGCCTTTTCTGCAGTGCTGTGAAAATTTTTTTTTTTTCAAGAATAATCCTAAACTTTAAGATGATCAATGGTGTGTTATTATTCACTCCAGTTAAAGGCATTTGGATAACAACCACATTTGGTCGTCCCGTATGTAATGTTGGACAAATAAATTTATTGTTTTGATTTTAGAAAGACAAAACAGTTGAGTTAATGTTTTTTTTACTTCCATCTCAGCGCAGGTTGTTGTTTTATTGTTAAACGAACCAAGAAAAACCTTTATTAAACAACATTCCTAACAACCAGGCAGCTCACTCGCGCGCGTGGCTGAGCTAGCTTACTTACTGTTTGGTAAGTTGGTGTTACACAATGCGCAGAAAAACCCTCTCGGCGTCGTTTGAATATCACTGTCTGATGACATGGTGATACTAAACAGTTTAACCAGATACTACACCAAACAACCGTCTACAGTTTAGCTTTGAGGACACCGCTGCGCTTTAAATTAAATCTCCCTCCAGCGTTGGCTAGTTGTTTGTGTTCTGTCCGTCTCTAATATGTGTCCGGGTTGAGTTTTTTTTTTAACCTCACAACCTTCCAGTTCCGTTTGATTATGTTGCATACTTTAAATCTATTTAGCTACTTTTGCATTTTCTTTTAGCCAGCTAGCTAATTACTTTAAACATATCATGTGGTCAACACTACACTAGAATGAAGCATGTTATATTTCTGGTGTAAAACGGATTCAGATATTACTCTTGATTTGTACGTTTGCTGACAAATTCAGCTGTTTAAATTAAACAAATCTCCCAAGAGATTTCAGCCCTTAAACTAAAGTTAAATTAAAAAAGTTAAACTATGTAAACTAGTTTTACATAGAAGGATCAGTCACTTGCATGGATTAATTTTCTGGTCAAATAGAAGCCTTGATTTTAATCTTACAAATGAAAAGTTTAATCATTTTATGTGTGAAAATGCTCAAGAAAAGAGTATTTGTTTATTAATAATAAAGAAACCATGTTTTTCCATTGTAAAAAATTTTATTTTTCCCACCATAAAATTATTTGCTGAACTTGTATTGAGTAACATACAACTTGCAAAAGCATAACCCCTCCCCCAACAACAAATGCCTAAGATCCCTGATGAGTTGAGACAAAAAGACAAACTGGCTTTATTCACAGTAAAATCAGCTAGGTGTTAAAATCTAAATCCAATTAATAAAATCTAAATCCAATTAATAAAAAGAAACGAATAAAGGAAAACAGTAATAATGATTAATACAATTTACAGGTTATTTCTTTGCCTGTCTCCCTCGTCTGGTCCTGGGTTGCGGCTCGGCTTCAGCGACACTCTCTTCCCTGGGTTTTGCTGCCGCCGTGTCAGCAGCCTTCGCTCCTCGTCTACCTCTCTTTGCAGGTTCAGCTTCAATTTTCTCTGAGAGATCCTCCTCTTCAGGTTTGTTGGTTTCCTTTGATGTGTTTTTGCTTGTTGTGTTTGCAGGTTTTGCCCTTTTACCTCTAACTGCCTTTGCAGGGGGTTCTCTTGGAATTTCCAGGACTTGCAGACCTGAATCAAACCTCACAGATTTCTTTGTGTTTGCATTTTCCTCACCAGCCGGTTTTACCGGCTCGTTGGTAACCGTGACCTCAGCTTCTGGGACCTTGGCTGCAGCTCGTCCCCCCCTTTTTGTGGGTTTGAAGAGTGCTGGAGGAGGTTCTGATGCCTGTACTGCTGATTCAACGTGGGCCTCTGCTCCTCTGCGTGCTCTCTTTGCTGGAATGACTTGTGTAACCTCAGTTTTTCTCACTTTTGCGCCACCAGCTTTAATGGGCAGAGACGAGCTGGTACTTTTCTGCTCTTCAGGCTCTTGGTGAGGATTTTCAACTGTAACAACTTCTCTAGAGTCGTGCTTTTTACCTCTCGACCCTTTTGGATTTCCTGTGGAGCCATCGAAGACCTCTGTAGAACCAGGAGTTGCACTTTCTGTGTCTGGTTTTGCTTTTCGTCCTCCTCTTCTGGGCTTTGCAGCAACAGTAGCTTGTTCACTCTTTTCTGGTTCAGCAGGTGGAGCGTCTGCCTTCTCTGGGACAACCACCTCATCAGTTTGGATTTCTTCTGTTGGTTTGACTTGTTCCTGCTCAGCTTTTCTTGTTCTCCTTGATTTTTTAACTGGTTCCTGGCAGTTGGATTTCTCTTCTGAGGTAGTTATGACATCAACATCCTTTTGAACCTCCTCTTTCGGTTGGGCATTCCTTCCTCTCTTAGCCCTCACGGGAGGCTGAGGCTTGATCTCTTCAGGTACGTCCGTGTTGTCAACCACCTTGCTTTGTTCAACTTTGACGTTTCTTCCTCGTTTGGGTTTTCCAGCAGCAGAAGGAATTGGCAGAGGATGTTGAGCATTAGAGGCAACATTTTCACTGTTCTCGTCTTCAGATTTCTTTGGCTCAGCAGGAGTTGGCTTTGCTTTTCTTTCTCTGGCTGGTTTTGATGCAACCTTTTCTAAATGGAGTAGCAAATCCATTTTCTCCTGGGTGGTTTGGACGTCACTGGCTTCAGTGGAAACCCCCGTTATCACCAGTGTTTCAACAGCTGGCTGCTCAGTGGTCATGTCTTGAGATTTAGCATTTCTGGTTCTAGTGGTTCTCAGAACAGCAGAGGGCGCTGCGGCATCTGTTTTCTTTGCCCGTCTTCCTCTGACTAGAGCAGGACCAACGGGCTCTTCTGATGGTTCTGCAGCATCCGGTTTCGGTTCAGCCTCTTTAGATTCGGTTGACATTGCCTTTCTGCCTCGGACAGGCTTCTTCCCAACAGCAGCTGGTTTGGTTTGTGTGGCTTCACAAGCTACCTCGTCACTGGGCGGGTTCATCATTTCAGGAGCCTGAGCGACTGGCAACACCTCCAGCTGCTCACTGCAGGTTTCACTTGCATCTGTTCAAAAAGACAACAATAAATGCTAAGTTAGCAGCATTTGTTTTAAAGGGGGGAGGGGGGTAAATAAAGAAGTCTACCTTTTGGTTCTTCAGCCTGAGAAACATCTTCAGGTTGCAGACGGGGCTCATCTGGTCGTTGCTGTGCTGCAGCTCGTTTAGGTTTTGTCCCTCGTTTGGGTTTCAGCTCACTTTTCTTCACCGGTGCTGCGTTCTCATCGACTTTGTGTTCTGCATCAGCTGGTGGCTTCTCCTCCTCATGGTCTGGAGTTACCTCATCTTCAAGAATAACTATGTCTTGGACCAGTTCAGCTGCATCCTCTGGGGCTTTTCTGGCATTTCTCCCTTTTGTCAGCTTAGGAGCAACCTTTGAAGGCTGAGGGGCCCTCTCTTCGTTAGCATTCACCTCCGTTTTTCTGCCTCTGGTCGTGTGCCTAACAGCAGGTTGTGGCCGAGCAGCCTCAGGTTTCTTCCCTCTTCGTCCTCTTACTGGAGAAACAGCGACGGGGTCTTCAGAAAGTTCCAGTGCCTCCTTTTTGCCTGTAGCTTTTCTAGATTCAACTATTTTTGCCTTTCTGCCTCTAACAGGTTTCTTCTCAAGAATGGATTCAGTCTCCACTTCTGTCACTTTGTCCTCTGATGTCTCCACTTCTGTCACTTTGTCCTCTGATGTCTCCACTTCTGTCACTTTGTCCTCTGATGTCTCCACTTCTGTCACTTTGTCCTCTGATGTCTCCACTTCTGTCACTTTGTCCTCTGATGTCTCCACTTCAGGTAAACTGTTATCTTTGTTATCCTCTCCAGGTGGTTGCTGAAGAACATCAGGAGGTAAGGTTTCCATTACCACCTCATTCATCTCCATTTGTGTGGAGTAAGTTGGTGGCTCCTGCATGAGCTCCTGAAGACCCTCAAAGTCTTCCACAGGAGCAACACCCCTCAACCTTGGTGACTTCATAAGCCTTTTGATCCCAAAGTTCTCTGTGACAGGTTCTCCTTTTTCTTTTGGAGTTCTCACCAGCCTCTTCAGACCAACCATATCTTCTACTGCAGGGTACTTCACTCTGGGAGTTTTCACGACCGTCTTCACGTCACTGAGGCATATTTTCAGGGAGCTCTTTGAGTTTGATGACATCATGCTGGTTATGTTGGATTGTTGCACAGGGGTCAGGGTCTGCAGAAGCTCCTTGACACCATCCAAACTCACTTCAACACTCTCTCGAGTTTTTGGAGTCTTCAAAAGTTTTCCTCTAAGATCTTCAAGTGGTTCCACCTTCTGTTTTGGAGTTTTGAAGACTCTCTTGACCCCAGTGAGACACTCCTGTTGTTCCACCTTCTGCTTTGGTGTTTTCAGAACCTTCCCTCTCAGATCCTCAATGGGCTCAGCCTTCTGTTTCGGGGTCTTCATGATTCTCTTGACCCCGGTGAGACACTCCTGTTGGTCCACCTTCTGCTTTGGTGTTTTCAGAACCTTCCCTCTCAGATCCTCAATGGGCTCAGCCTTCTGTTTTGGAGTCTTCATGATTCTCTTGACCCCGGTGAGGAACTCTGGTAACTCTGGTTTCTGTTTAGGAGTCGTTACCAATGACCTCTGCTGTTTGCTAGACTCAGATTGAACTTCAGGGGCAGAAACATCACCGATGAAGCTTGATTCTTGATCTCCACTGAGGAGACGTCGGACCGCTTCACTATTGTACCTTTGACTCTTCACGGTCGAAGCTACACTAAGTGGAGATACCATCATCTCACCTGAAAGAAACATATTTTATGCTTATTTAGCAAATTCTAAGTAATATTTTGATCCACTTCTACTAGATGCCCCCATACCCGGCTCCTCTGGTGTGTTCAGCACTGATGGCTCCATCGCAGATGTTCCCAGAGGTGCTGCTGGTGTTTTTGTGCCGCTGCTTTCATTCCTGAGAGATCTCCTCTTCTTCTTAGTTGCGGGAGTTTTAAACATTTCAGAAACACCTGAAAACACAGGAGTAACAAAAGTGAAATCCAAATGTCTACAAAGTGTGTGTGTGTGTGCTCCTGATGGTTACGACAGAAGAGTTACCAGTCAAGTCCTCATCCATCTTCATGTCCTTTATGAAGAGTGCGGTGTTGAGGACCACCTTCGGTGCGGCTCCGGTCTGATGCACAACCATTCGTTTGTGAGCTCGGCCCACAACGATGGTAGCAGGAGAATCTGCGTGCCCAGTGCTCGCATGGCCCTTGAGGTTCCGGGCAGGTGTCTGACACATCAGGACATATTACTTTTAGTTGAGTGCTAAAGTGTTTAAAGACTAAATCAAACACACGTGTGGTTTATGAAGCCTACCTGGAGTTTAGACACACGCTTCTTTGCCGTTTTTTGGGCGACCTTTTGTTTAGCAGGAGCAACAACTTGGGCCTTAGTTTGTCCAAACTTAACAATATCTGCCCAGGAATTCAAGACTGGACGGAAAGAAGTCAGAAAATCAATCACTGAGATAAAAGTTTTAAAATGTCTCTGATCCAACAATAAAAAATAAATAAAACACACACACACCTTTCATCGATGCTCGTGAAATTCCACTTCTTCTCTGCAGAATTTTCACAGCGCTCCTGGAAACACTTGGGGTCTTCAGAGAAGTGCTTTTCATACTTTTCCTCTTCAGCTGCACTTTGGGAGTAACAGTGACGGAGAGCTCCTGTTGAGAATCAGCCTCTCCAGATGGGGAGGGGGTGCAGATCCGGGACACAGAGAAGCGCCCCTGCACCATTGGGGTCTGGACGCCACCTGGTGTGATGCCAATCAAGGAAGAGTCTTTCAGAGAGACGGGAGTTGACTCCGACAGACAAGAGCTCTTCTGCTGACCAGGGCTTGAACTCTTTTGTTGAGTTCTTGGCCATTTCTTCATTGGGGGAGTTTCCGCATTGTTTGTACAAGGTGACTTTTCCTGAGCAGGGGAAGAACTCTTGGATTTGGGAGAAGTTGTTGCAGGAGAAGCAGATTTTGGAGACTTCTGAGATTTTGGTTTGGGAGACTTTCTCCCAGGGGATGCAGACTTGGGAGAAGAGGACTTTGACTGTGGAGACTTCTTGGCTGAAGAGCTATGCTCGGGAGAAGGAGACCCAGATTTCGGTGACTTGTTCCCAGTTGGTGTCTTGGGAGAAGCACTTGTATACTTCTTAGGTGGAGTCTTAGCTTTTACGGGACTTCTCTTCTACAGAAAACAAAAATCAGATTAAACAGGAGTTGAGAGCCAGACCTAAAAAGTAAAACCCAACTTCTGAGACGTACGGTCGGCAAGCCGATGACTGAGGCTCTTCTAAGCAGTGACCGTTTGGGCTTTAAGAGAGACAAGCTCCTCCGTGGAGTGGCTCCCCTACGCAGCGGAGAATCAGGAGGCAGGCGCTTATCAAACAACTCTGGGCTCAGTTGACCCCCAAAGGAAACTCGTTTCTTCTTCATCTTTGATGCTGGAAGGTCTGGTCCAAGCTCTTCACTCTTGCGTTTCTTGGAGACCTCTACCACTAAAAGCAATAAATAAATAAATAAAAAACAAACCCAAACATTAAAATTAGTGCAACACTGAGAGCCAAGTAACTGCTGTACTTCAAACTTCACTGTCAGACCTTTCTCAGCTGTTCCCGGGTTTCTTGGAGATGTTCTTCTAAGAGTTTCAGTTTTAGGGGACTTAGTTGCTTGCTCCTCTTGTTCAGTGGAGGCTGCAGATTTAGCCGGTGTGGTCCCATTACTCCTCCTTCTAGTCGGTGATTTGACTGTTTGGGAGGAAATTTGCTCCAGGACCTCAGCCACACTAAACCTCTGAGGAGTTGCGCTGCTTCTCCTCTGTACTGAAGTGGCTTCAGACATGGTGGCAGGTTCACCTTCTACCACGCTGGATTCAGCAGCAGAAGAAACCTGGGTGGTTCTTCCATGGTTCTTGACTGACCACGGTGTTCCGCTGCCTTTATCTTTAGGATGTGCAAATAGTTCAGCTCCTTCCTTCATGGGAATGAAGACGGCAGGTTTGTCGCGGGGCTTTGGAGTGCAAAGCCTGGAAGATGGTGTCTGAACCTGGCTTGAAGTAGATTTGCGAGGGGTCTCGACATCCAGAGATTTTTTGATCATTTGATACAGATCGCCAAAAGGAGAGTTGGTCTTGTTTTGCAGCTGGCTTTCATCTTCCTTTGAGTCGATCGCCAACTCCTTCTCCAGAGATCGCTGAATGTTGTCGATGTTAGCTCCATCTTTAAGATGGGCGCCTAAACGGTGTTAAAGGACAGATTTTTTATTTCCCCTGACATTTATTCTAGGACAAAGATTACATTGAGATTGAATATAAAATGCACAAGCATACAATTAACACGAGTTACAGAAAAATATCGTCATGTGAAGTTATTTCTTAGTAAAGGCGTCATTTTCAACCATTGCTCATACAGTATTACCTTTGGACACTCTAGATGACCTCTTTTCTCTGCTCTCTGCAGGAACACCATCACTCACTTCCTGAAGAATCTAAACAAATTTATTGCATTATGACATTTGTAATTTTGCATAGTTCACAAGTACATGTCGAGACATGTTAGGCTAAAGTAATCAATCATAGATGATTTATTTACTTTGAGGGTTTCAGATTTGGCCCCTGTGGAGATCCTCTTTTTTGGTGTGGAAGCCGGCGGATACTCAAACCTGAAAGTTATCAAAAAATATATATATAATGAAATAATGAAGAAAAAAGCGCTTCATAACAGTTTGAAAGTACTTCTTATCAAATTCTAACTCAATCACTTCAAAAGAGACGATTCAAAGCTCTTGGAACTGTTTTAGACGTGACTTCAGAGCAGTTTGTTGGGCACTTCGCAACACAATCAGTCTTCACCCATTCACACACACGCTGGTAGTGATGAGCTACGAAGTAGCCACAGCCGCCCCGGGGCGTACTGGCAGAGGATACTGCCAAACACGGGCCACCTGTTCTTCCGACCACCAGCAGGCAAGGCTGGTTAAAGAGCAAGTCACCCCCAAATCAACTATTTTTTTCCTGATCAACAATATAAATGTGTGTCTAATCGTGCTGCAGACACGTGATGTCAATAGTTTTGCGCTTTAGTGCATTTTAGTTGAAATTTTAATTTTCTGCCAAAAACAGTCATTGTGCCGTTGTCAGGTAAAACCTCTGCTCTGCATTTGAATTTAAATCTGCCATAGCTATTGGCTAAGAGGTACCCTAGGATGTTGGCTGGTACCATATGATGTCAAAGTGTTGTTGTGAGCCCGTGTGTGTGTGTATTTGTCAGCAGCTCTGCCTTCTTGGCCTGCAAGGCAACAGTTTTTGTTGCATTTTTCAAACAGGAAGTGGGAGTGGAGTAATACTCTGGTAGGGGGTGACTTGCTCATTAAGTGTCTTGCCCAACAGTAGCATTCTCTGACAGGAACCAGGATCAAACCTACAACTTACCCATTACTGGTCAACCTGCTCTACCTCCTGAGCTACAGCTTCCGCAGCACCAACAAGGTTCCAAAACAACTAGCATACATTATATGAAGGATGATGTCGTTCTCAGGTCCTGTTTGGGTCTTTAATGGATGTTTCCTCCTACTTTATCAGACATGATTTTCAGATAATGTTCATCTAACATCATTTCATTTATTTGCATTTGCAATCCACTTCCTGTGTTTTTAAGTACAACCTATTGTTATGGTCAACTTCAAAATCTGAACAGAAAATGATTGAAAAATAAATAAATGCTAAATTCAAAGAAAAACTTTAAAGGACCTTCAGCAAACTGGATAATTACTGATCAAAATCACTTCAAACAATTACAGGAAGGTTTGCTAGAAAGCCTAATGTGCAGAAACTGTTATTTTAAATGTTTGCATAAAAGCATTCTGCAGGAATGTGTGCAAGTCAGTTGCATACGCATTTACCTCCAATTTAATAAATGTTCGTTATGGGTTAAGAAGAAAAGAGCTGACACCAATTAAATCTGAACAAAAACCTTTTATACTAACCTGAAAGAACGATCAAGAATGGTTATAACATCTCCGTGCTTTAAGCGTTCCGACTGTTGCAGAGCTTTTCCGTTGACACGTGTTAGACTGACCGAGCTCAGATTGGTTAAAATCACCTTAAAGACAAAAATAACACACACACACACACACACACACAAAGTAAACCCTTAACACAGTTAAAATGTATCATTTATATTAATCCAACAAAACTAAACTACAAATAGAAAACCTAGCAGCTTGTAAATGAAGCTGTTCATGTAAGCTACAGTTATAAAGACAAGGCAACACTTTTATCACCAGTGTGGATCATTACTTCTTTATTTTCATTCAAGTCAATCCTGCAGTGCTCCTTGGAAACACTTGGAAGTTGAATACGAATATCACACTCTTCCTTCCTGTATGAACAAAAACAGGACACGGTCAACATTTACGGACATCTCGCGCTACCCTAAATTCAGATTCAATCCACCGTCTGCAGGAGAAATAAAAATAATGTGGAAAAATGACAACTGATTGCAAAAGATATCCAAACACATCCCCTCAAAATGTAAGCACAGACAGCAGCTCCTTCGTGACTGAAAACCTGCTTCTCATCCAAAGAACTATCAAAATGCAGATAACCAGGACTTTTAACTGCAGTGAAAGCTTCATTAAAGCGAAATCGATAAAAATGATTCACCCATCTTCCTTCTCAGGGGTAAATTAGGATCTTTGATGTCCTGGTTTACACACTTTTGATGTGAATTGACGTGCATTTAAGCTAAAAACAAACTCAGTGGATCAAGGCATACAAACCTTCTCAATATATTAAGAAAAAAGCATTGAACAGAAAAAGAAGCCCTGAGGTTAGATCTCTCCAACACCTAGGATGCAGCTTTAAATCAAGCCCCTAAGCAGTTTCACAGCAATCCACGTCTTCAGGGTAAAACATCTCCCACGTGGAGCGCATCAGGATGAACTGCTGACTTGATGCGTTTTAAAGAACAAGGAGGTCCTACTAGGAGCCATGCAATGATGTGAACGCTTACCTTCCAAACAGACACGATGTAGTCAAAGGAAATTCAGTTCCATCTCCTCCACTCCTCTTAATGACCACAATCTTTCCATGCAAAGGCATTTTTCTAACGTTACCTGAGAAAATACAAACAAGCTGTCAGAGCTTTGGAACACCATGCCACCTAGCTTTGTAGTCTTACACAGATAGGCCTTTAGCAGAATAATGATTAATTTAAACCAGTGTAATACAATAAGAAGTGGAGCAATTCACCTAGTTAATGGTAAAACTTGTATCACTCACATAACCCTCTACCAAAATGCTCCTAGTTCATTTAAAACTATTGTCTGAAAAACCCCACGTGCTAAGCTGCCATGAAAATCTGATTTAAAATGCACAACTATGCAAAGAAACGATTAAAACCATGTGACACATTACGAAAAAATATGAAAAATTTGGGATAAAAACGTGGCAAGACATGTAACGTGCTAAGTATTTGGTACGAGGTCAGTTTAAAATGTTAGTCGTGTACTAGTTTACGGAAAAAAACGAAAAACAACGTCCAGCTTACTGAGTCCTACCTGAACAGTCTTTAAACGTCGATCAATTTGTATTCGTCCATAAAAATAATCTGGATGCGATTAAAAACCAAGTTTAGCAACTAAATCATCATCTAAATAAAAGAAATCATCCCGCTACCGCCAAACCAGTAACGTTTGTGTGCTACTGCCACAGCCGTGCCTTGTGGAATCTTGGGTCCTCCGCACAGATGTATCACTCCGCCAAACCACTAACAGAGTAACCACGTAAAATTAACGGGTTTAAGGTCTTTTGTCTGTATGTAATATGTGTGTTGGTTTGACTTGTTTTGTTAAGGTTATGTTTTCCATTTGACTCTGCCATTAAAATGTATTCTGCTGCATTCAGGCAAAAGGAACTACTTTGTTTACATTTTTGGCGGAACGATCCCAGTAGGAGGGCGAAATCGTAATTTGAAAATGTTTGAAATTCCGCGCGAAGGGTTCTGATTGGTTGAACGTCACAGCTTTACAACAGGGTGGGACTTAAAGGATTTGAAGGCGTAATGTCACTCCTGTTTTCTTTTTGATCTTTCGAAACATTTGATGTCTCTTTCGTGGAACCATAACTTTTTACATCCACGTTTTATTGATTCAGGAGTTTGAGGTGGGATTGGTTTTACTAGTAGGGTGAGGCGATGCCTGGACCCTGCAGAGGTTGCACTGATAGCCCTGCACCAACAGGTCATAGTGTGTCATGCTTAAAAATTAGGTAAATCTATCCTAGCTACACATTGCATCACACTACTGTACAATTTCCCCCTAGCTGCCTACAGCGCTAAAAACTCCGTTTTGATTATAAATTGACTTGACGCCCTCTATTGGTGAAAAGCTAGAACCACATCCTGGCTCTGTTGAACCATTCAGAAGAGATTACCGTATATTATCATGGGATTATTCTTGTGCTTAAATGATCAAGAAAAACTTGGAAATCAAACCAAAAGTAAGAATTTGAGAGAAAATAAAACGTTGAAAAAAAGTGGTTTCAAAGATAAAAGTTACTAGCTGTAGTTATTATTATTATTGATAATTCCTTCAAAATAAAACATTCCAGTTACTATCATTTTGAATTAATGTTAAAAGTATAGTCAGTTCAGATAACGGGAAAGCCCTCATTTATACAAATTACTTAACTACCTAACTAATAAAACTAAATAAGTACCTTTAATCTTATAATTATATGTGCAAGATTAAATCAATGAACTAAAGCAGGAGCCATCAGCAGCTACCTACAGCTCTAGCACAGTATTCGCCCTCCAACATTATGGATTCTGAGCCTCTTCTTTGTGCACGCTTGGACTTTGGTTTCCAAATGACCTGCAGACTTCTAAAAAAAAGTAAAGGACTCAGAACCACTGAGCAACAGCCCAGCTGTTGTTCTCCTCAGTCCGGGTGAAATGCTTCTGATGTGTCTGGTTCAGGAGTGGATCAACACCATGAATACGACATTTGCAGCCTAATGTGTGGGATCAGTCTGTGTATATTGGCCCTTGATGCTCGGACTCCAGCCTCGGGCCCCTCCTGTTAAGAATCCCCAGATTCCCGAAGGGATTGTTTCACAATCCTCTCAAGGCTGCGGTTCTACCTGTTGCTGGTGCAACTTTTCCAGCCTGTTTGGGAACGGTGCTCAGTGAACAAGCAGCTTCTTAAGATGAGGAGGCCAACATAACCTTTGCAGGTTTATTGAGTTAATTAGCTGATTAAGGTGTGACACCACAAGTTTCCACTTTTTTCCCCTTTAAGTTTTATTTTAGCAAATACGAGGGTAACTTAGACAACCTTATACATGAATATAGGCAAGTGTTGTTGCCTCCTTGGGTTTAACAAAGCTATGCAAGCAAGGCATAAAGTTCAAACAGATGAGTCCTGCTTGTTTGTGAGGAAACGCAGGGCCCTGTGAAATATTGTATCCTGGCAACAAAGAACTGATGAACAATGTCTCCGTGGTCCAACACATTCAGGAAAAATGTTTGTACAAGTTTTCCTCACATCCATCTTCAGACAGGATTCAGGTGGACTTCAGAATCCAACTTTTAAAAAGACCATTTTTCATCAGTCCATGTTCCCACATCTTTGTAAGCTCATTTTTTCCCTTCTAAGGTCCAAATGCTTTCATGCTCCAAAACTAGAGAATGAGTTTTTGAAATAATTATAAAATTTGTCTTTGGATTTGGGAGCTACTTCAAGTGATGGAGTGAAATCAGAAGCTGATGGGAAGCAGTCAACAAGAGCTCGGTTAACAGAGGCCGCAGTAGCATAAATCAGAGTATCATCAGCATACAGAATTTAACATTTTGTATTAAGGGTTTTACAATATTCTCGTTTTCTGAGATGCAGAATTTTTTTTAATCTGTAGCCATAATCATCAGTCACAGGTGAAATGAATCTATACAACTTCCACTTTCACTTTCTGAAACGAGTAATTTTAAAAACATACCAATATTCTGCAAAGTATCTTTTCAGTATTACGCTCTGGGGCTGTGCATTAAGAACATCCATGTTCCCAGAGGTTTTAGAAAAACATCTATGCAAATGACGGAAAGAATGACAAAGACGTGTAATTATTAAATGTTGATTTATTTTTTTAAATCTTTTTGTGTTTTCTTTCAAAGTTCCTTGATAATCTTGACAACATTTCAACATACTCTTCAAACGGTGTGTCTCTTCCTAATCCAGATTATCTGTGGAGGGAAACGTTGTGCGCTGTTCTGAACAGGTTGAGTCCTAAAAGATGAAAGAAGCAGCTTTTTTCTTTTCTCCAAACAAATAAAAGAAAAAAAGAACACATGAATTGGAGAGACTCCACACACTGGCATCCTATGTTGCAACACTGAGTGGTCCGAGTCTCTCTGCACGAGTCCTGGTCCAACAGGCGTGAAAACGTGTGTGTGAGTGGAGGAACATAAAATAAAATCCAGGGGCTCAGTAGCAGAAGTGTGTGTGTGTTTGTATGTGCATTTATGATTGGAGGCTTTAGAAAGGGGAAGGGGTTGCATTACAGGACACGTACACATAACAGGCCAAGCACACAAAATGATTCCTTCCTGAGACATCGTGAGTTTACAGTAAAGATGGTCCAGATATTAATGGTGAAGGCGTTTTGGTGTAAAGTGAGTCACAGGGCGCAAGGTAGCTCCAGATCCGGCAAACGTCACACGAGATGCTGAAGGGAAGGGGAGAGTGGATTTGCAGGAGCTTGCATTATATATTTGGGACCTTCATTTACTTGTTTGAACAATGACAAAAAAAAAAAAAAAAATTATAAAAGAACAAATGAAGAAATCTGCTCTGGTCTCATCTGCTACAGAGTGATTCGCTCAGAGTACCGAGAACGACGAGTTTTATCTGGAGTAAATACACCAGTCCCCGTGTGACACCTCTCTACGATTCTGGCTTCTAATTCACCATTTTCACCTCTTCCTTTCTGTTAAACGGGAGAAAAGAAGCTATTCCCCGACAGGAGTGCTACTTTATTGTGTACTGTACATTTAAAGTAAAAAAATAAAATAGAAAAAGAAGTGGGCAAGCGTCGAAACCGTTTAGTGAAAGCCACATTCTGAACAGCCAGTGATCGATGAAGAGTCCGTTACAAAACTTCCTTCAGTAAAATGTGCTCATGTTTTTTCTCGAGTCACAAAAATCTATAACAAAAACACATGAAAAGGAATAAAAAAAAAAAGAACCAATCAGGTGAGGCCTAAAAACTCTTCATAGCTTTAAAGAAATGAATACAGCTTATATACACAAACTCAAAAGCCACTTAAAGTACACCTTAATAATGAATCTTCATTAATCTGATTTCTTGAGAGGACCTGTCACAATATCATACAACCAAGCTCATACAATCAGTTTTTTTCATTCGCTTGGAAGAAGAAAAAAGAAACAACCTGGAAAAGTAGGTGATATTCATTGATCTCTTGCACGTTTGTATCTGTGTTTGCCTGATTTAAGAGAAATATCAATATCATTTTGCTTTTTTTTTTGTTAATTAGAATATACAAAACTGAAACGTCTCTCGTTGCTCTCGATAGGTACGAAAAGATTCAAACGGTGAAGGAGTACGACGATTTCTAATCTCAGCGCGGTAAACATCCTCGTTTCAGCCTGCAGCTCTCTTCCTATCCAATAGTTCCTTAATTTTTCTATATATATTTATATATCTTTTGTACAAAATCTGTTCTGTTTCACTTTTTTTTGAAAATGGAAAAAAAGTAAAGACCCAAAGTCTTTGAGGAGTGAGGTCTTTTAGAGGAGTCCCAAAGTTGCAGCCTGCCTCAGAGTACAGGAACGAAACAAAACCAAAGTGTCTGGTGTTGAAGTCAGTCTGTGTTCATCAGGTCGTCCCGTTGTGCTGCTCTCTCTCTCTCTCTCTCTCTCTCTCTCTGGTACAGCTGCTCGTCCCTGCATCCAGATTCATTTCCATCTGTCTTTTTTGGAGGAGAGTGGTGGAGGAGGGGGATGCGCAGCACCAGAGAGGAGAGTGGAGGGAGGTGGATTGGCTGTGTGGTACCTCGACCTGCTCCCGCCTCGCCTGCCCTCACCTACGGACAGTGTTCCAACCACAGTGACGGCAAGCGGATCAGGAGATGTGGACTCGTGTCGTGGGAGGAGGAGGAGGTCGGCTCTGTCGGTCTCCGATGTTCAGCAGTCGGGGTCAAAGCCCACCTCCTGTTCGAAACAACGTGGGAGGAGACAGAGACCGACACGAAGAGAGAAAGTAAGAAATCGGGTGGGCCGTCACTACGGCGATTGTGTGGCTGGACTGCTTTGGGCAGAGCTGGGGGACAGACTGGGGCTGCAGCTGCCTGGAGGGGCGCCGCTGGGCCTGCTGCCCGTGGCGCCGCTTTCTAGACCTTCAGAGTTCTCCAGCATCTCCTGGATGAGAGGTGGCATGGAGCCTGGGATCTCCATCTTCAGCGTGATGACTCTCTCAGCTCCTGCAGCGAAAGATTTAACAGAGTCAGCAACAGGAACAGCTGATCTTTAGTCCTAATCACAAACAGCTGACCTTTAGCACTGATGCTCCTCAGGTCAGTAATCTTCATCAGCATCTTGGGAAACATGTGAGGTTTGTGAGGCCTCCTCTTCCTCACGTAAATCTTCAGTGCCTCCAGAAGGGGTTCCTGAAGGATGTCCACCTTGTCGGCTTCTTCCAAGTCCTGTCGATCTGTGGAGAACCCCAAATGGAGAAAAGGTGTTCTCTTACAGAAATGATGTCTTTATTTCTGTGTTTAAACTATATTTTATGTGTTTATCTTTAAAAATGAATCTTTAGTCAGCTTAATCTAGAAACTCACTGGGCTGAGACCGATGCTGACGACTGTGAACGACTAAACAGAACGATTTCAAATACTTTGAGATTAAACTGCAAAAATACATTTCTGACAGCTGTTTGTTTGCAATCGTGTCATTTGCACCATGTGACCCAGAAAATGTGCCCTATGCACCAGTTCCCCAGCAGTCCCAGTCCAGTGAGCTACTGGCTTCAGAGCTGTGCAGTACCTCCACAGAGCAAGCAGATGGCGCTAAGCAGCCCCGTCTCCGCATCATCCATCTCCAGAGGAAGGAGCTGGTTGGCAAAAGCAAAAACCAGGTCGGTGAGCGGCCCGAAGCCAGCATTGTGCATCTGGGTTCTGTTTAGCGTGAGCCCATCTGAGAATGTCATGGTGTCTTGCTCCGGCGTGTAGCGCGTACAGATTCGCAATATCTGAGGAACAGGGAGGAAGCTGCTGGTTAGGAGCTAGAACGGTTTTGTGCTTTGTTTGTGGAACGACAGAGGAAACGCTGACGCTTGTACCAGGATGTCCAGACAGGCGGCTTTGAGCAGGGTGATCTGGTCGGCGATGGTGAGCGTGGTGAAGCCCGGTAGCTGTTTGGCGAACTCCACCGTCTTTATGATGCATTTGGTGGAGAGCTCGCTGAACTTGTCCCACAGGTCTACATCCAACGACACGCGCCTTTCTGAGCTGTTAGTCTGAGAAAATAGAAAACATTCACAAAAATAGTGAGAGGAGAATCCGGCTTAGAAGAGCTAAACAGACGGTGGGTTTTGTACTACAGACCGTAGTGTATTTGCCCAGCTGGCAGAGAGAGGGGAAGG